GGACACCTCCCGTCAAAGAAAGAGCTTCGTTCAGAGGGATAGCCTCACTGCACACAAAAGAGGACAGAGCAGGGAGAAACCCTATCAGTGCTTGCAATGTGGGAAGAGCTTCAGTCAAAGGACCCATCTCACTTTCCATCAAATAATTCATACCGGGGAGAAACCCTATCAGTGCTTGGAATGTGGGAAGAGCTTCAGTCAGAGGGGCAATCTCACTTCCCATCAAAGAATACATACAGGAGAGAAACCCTATCAGTGCTTGGAATGCGGAAAGAGCTTCAGTCACAGGCACAGTCTCACTTCCCATCGCAGAATTCATACAGGGGAGAAACCCTATCAGTGCATGGAATGTGGGAAGAGCTTTAATCAAAGCGCACATCTCATTTCCCATCAAAGAATTCATACCGGGGAGAAACCCTATCAGTGCTTCGAATGCGGGAAGAGCTTCAGGGTGGGGGCCAAGCTCACTTTGCATCAAAGAACTCATAAAGGGGAGAAACCCTATCAGTGTTTGGAATGTGGAAAGAGCTTCAGTCAAAGGACCCATCTCACTTCCCATCAAAGAATTCATATAGGGGAGAAACCCTATCAGTGCTTGGAATGTGGAAAGAGCTTCACTGATAGCTCCAGTCTCACTTCCCATCGCAGAATTCATACAGGAGAAAAACCCTATCAGTGCTTGGAATGTGGAAAGAGCTTCAGTCAAAGCACCCATCTCACTTCCCATCAAAGAATTCATACCGGGGACAAACCCTATCATTGTCTGGAATGTGGAAAGAGCTTTCGTCAGAGTGGTGATCTCACTTCCCATCACAGAATTCATACAGGAGAGAAACCCTATCAGTGCTTCGAATGCGGGAAGGGCTTCAGGGAGGGGACAAAGCTCACTTTGCATCAAAGAACTCATACAGGGGACAAACCCTATCATTGTCTGGAATGTGGAAAGAGCTTCAGTCTCAGGCAGAATCTCACTTCCCATCAAAGAACTCATACAGGAGAAAAACCCTATCAGTGCTTCGAATGCGGGAAGAGCTTCACTCATAGCACCAGTCTCACTTCTCATCAACAAATTCATTTTTTTTTTTTAAATAAATTTTTATTAATTTTCCAAACACAAAATAAGAAAACAAACGATACACAATACACCGACATACAAACATATAAACATGTATAATTTCATAACCATTTTTCATAAACCTTACTTTCCGGACTTCCCCATACCTCCCCTTTTCTGCATCCTTGTTTTGTATTTCTTCAGCAACTCCTCAGTCAACTAATTATTCAATTCAATTTCTTTTAAGTTCTTCTAATTTTGTTAATTACAGCTGCAATTCTCTGTTTCCCAACCCCTTGACATTTTAACATTCCTGAATTTTACAACAAGTTCTAAGATAAACTTTAAATTTCTTCCAATCTTCTTCCACTGTCTCTTTCCCCTGGTCACGGATTCTGCCAGTCAACTCCGCCAGTCCCATATAGTCAATCACCTTCGTCTGCCATTCTTCCAGTGTGGGTAGTTGTTGTGTCTTCCAATACTTTGCTAGAAGAATCCTTGCTGCTGTAGTCGCATACATAAAAAACGTCCTGTCCTTCCTTCTCACCAATTGGCCGACGATGCCCAGGAGAAAAGCCTCAGGTTTTTTAAGGAAGGTCCATTTAAGAACCTTCTTAATTTCATTATAGATCATTTCCCAAAAAGCTTTTATCCTCGGGCAGGTCCACCAAAGGTGATAAAAAGTACCTTTAGTCTCATTACATTTCCAACATTTGTTATTGGGCAAATGATAAATTTTTGCAAGCTTGACTGGGGTCATGTACCACCTATAGATCATTTTCATAATGTTTTCTCTTAAGGCATTACATGCCGTAAATTTAATACCGGTAGTCCACAACTGTTCCCAGTCAGCAAACATAATGTTATGACCAATATCTTGTGCCCATTTTATCATAGCTGATTTCACCGTTTCATCCTGTGTGTTCCATTTCAACAGCAGATTATACATTCTCGACAAATTCTTAGTATTGGGTTCTAACAGTTCTGTTTCTAATTTTGACCTCTCCATCTGGAAACCTATTTTCCTGTCCTGTTTAAATGTCTCGTTTATCTGAAGGTAGTGCAACCAATCTCGCACTTTGGACTTTAATTTCTCATAACTCTGTAATTTAACTTTTTCCCCATCTTGTTCTAAAATTTCACAATATTTTGGCCATTTAGACTCCATATTAAGTTTTTTCACCTCTTTAGCTTCCATTGGTGACAACCACCTGGGAGTTTTACTTTCCAGTAAATCTTTATACCGCATCCAAACATTGTATAATGCTTTCCTAACAATATGGTTTTTGAAACCTTTATGCAGTTTTACCTTATCATACCATATATATGCATGCCAGCCAAATCTATTATCAAACCCTTCTAGATCCAAAATGTCTGTATTCTCAAGAAGTAGCCACTGTTTCAACCAGCAGAAAGCCGCCGATTCATAGTAGAGTCTTAAGTCCGGCAGGGCAAACCCCCCTCTATCTTTTGCATCAGTTAGAATCTTAAATTTTATTCTGGGCTTTTTGCCCTGCCAGACAAATTTAGATATATCTTTCTGCCACTTCTTGAAACAGTCCATCTTGTCCAAAATCTGCAATGTCTGGAATAAAAACACCCTATTTAGAGATGAAGAGATTTATAAGAAGGCCCAAAAAACAGTGAAAGATTACTTTGAGATAAATTTGAGAACAGAAGTGGAAAAAAGAATAATTTGGGACGCAAGTAAGGCCGTGATGCGAGGTTTCCTAATACAACAGAACTCCATAAAGAGGAAAAATCAAAATGAAAGGAAAGAAAAAATTCTGGAAAAAATAAAAGAAGGTGAAAAGAAATTGAGGTCTAAACCAAAGTCTCATGAGATTCTGAGAGAAATAAAGCACTATCAGGTGCAATATATGGAATTGATGAATCAAGAGATAGAATGGAAAATAAAGCAAATGAGACAAAGACATTTGAATCAGCAGATAAATGTGGGAAATTTCTGTCATGGCAATTGAAAAAGAGGCAAAAATTGAACACTGTGACAAGTTTAGAAGTGGATGGAAAGATTATCCACAAACCAAATGAGATAAGTAATTGTTTTCAAAGTTACTTCAGGAAATTATATGCACAAGGGCCAGTTAACGAACAGGAAATAGAAGAATTTGTTAAGAAACATGGATTACCAAAAATTTCAGAGCAAAGCAGAAGGATTTTGAATGAGAAAATAACAGGACAAGAAATAGAGGGTGCCATTCAGAAGATGCAATTGGGAAAAGCTCCAGGACCAGATGGTTTGACCGCCAGATATTATAAAGCGTTGAAGGAATGGTTAGTACAACCACTGAAGGAAGTATGTAACGAAATTTTGGAGGGGAAAAAGGCACCAGAGTCGTGGAAAGAAGCCTTCATTTCACTTATACTGAAAACTGAGACTGAAAAGAACCAGGTTAAAAACTACCGCCCTATATCATTACTTAATGTGGATTACAAAATTTTTGCGGACATTATGGCAAAAAGACTGAAGAGAGTGTTGGTAGGGGAGATTCATAAGGACCAAACTGGCTTTCTTCCAGGGAGACATATGTCGGACAATGTGAGGAACATTATAGACATTTTGGAACTGTTAGAAGTGGACATCAATAGGAAGGCTGTTTTAATTTTTGTGGACGCGGAGAAAGCCTTTGATAATATTGGCTGGAGTTTTATGAAGAAGAATCTCCAAGGGATGGGGGTAGGTCAAGGGTTTGAAAATGGTATAGGTGCAATATATTCTAAACAAAAAGCAAAGTTAATTGTAAACAATGTGGTTACGGAAGAAATATCTATAGAAAAAGGTACACGACAGGGGTGCCCAATATCCCCTTTACTTTTTATATTAGTCCTGGAGGTTTTGTTAAATATGATTAGAGGAGACCAGTTGGTTAAAGGAGTACAAGTCGGAGCTAAACATTACAAGCTAAGGGCATTTGCAGATGACCTAGTATTGACCTTGCAACAGCCAGATACTAGTACTAAAAGAGTACTAGAACTAATTGAGATATTTGGTCAAGTAGCAGGATTTAAACTGAACAAACAGAAAACGAAAGTGTTGGACAAAAATTTAACATTGGCTGAAAAAGAAGTTTCAGAATGAAACAGGTTTAGTGATAACGAAAAAGTAAAGTACCTGGAGGTAAACTTAACATCTAAGAATGTGAATTTATTTAAGGACAATTATGATAAATGTTGGACAGAGGTAAAGAAGGATCTAGAAATATGGTCAAGGTTGAAACTTTCTTTGTTAGGTCGAATTGCTGTTATCAAGATGAATGTATTGCCTAGAATGTCTCATCAACAAATTCATACAGGGGAGAAGCCCTATCATTGCTTGGAATGTGGAAAAGGCTTCAGTCATAGCACCAGTCTCACTTCCCATCAAAGAATTCATACAGAGGGGAAACCAAAAAAGAGAAATATTAAACAATCCTTACAAAATACAATTGTATAGAAAAGAAAAAGGGGGGGATATAAACTAAAAATACTGTTTATGGCATTTGTATCATATATATGATATCATTCATCAACCCATAGAAAGACAGGCTCCCCCACTTCTCCCCTGCGTGACCCCCTCTTCTCCCCGTATCCCACCCTGAGAGATCCTTCCTTCCCTGTGTTCCTTGCAGGTCCATCGCACCTCCAACTCTCCTCTTCCTATGTGTGTCCTCCTAAATTCAAAATAAAGGAATCTTAATATAAAATACAAAAAATAGATGATGATGATGATTTATTGATACCCTTCCCATCTGGCTGGGTTTCCCCAGTCACTCTGGGCAGCTTCCAACAAAATATTAAAATACAGTAATGCATCAAATATTAAAAGCTTCCCAAAACAGGGCTGCCTTCAGATGTCTTCTAAAAGTCTGGTAGTTGTTTTTCCTTTGACATGTGCTGGGAGGGTGTTCCACAGGGCAGGCACCGAAAGAAAACTCCCATCTCCATCTGCAAATCATCTGTAGCAACAATTATTCATAATTTGCACTCCAGAATAAACCCAGCTGTATTTAGCATATAGTGGTGTAGTGGTTAAGAGCGGTAGATTTGTAATCTGGGGAACCGGGTGCTCGTCTCTGTTCCTCCACATGCAGCTGCTGGGTGACCTTGGGCCAGTCACACTTCTGTGAAGTCTCTCAGCCCGACTCACCTCACAGAGTGTTTGTTGTGGGGGAGGAAGGGGAAGGAGAATGTTGGCCGCTTTGAGACTCCTTCGGGTAGTGATAAAGCGGGATATCAAATCCAAACTCTTCTTCTTCTTCTCCTCTTCACCAAGATGACACATTCCCTTCGTCTCCCTCCCTAGCCCAGCTTTCAAATCTTAACCAACTCAGACAGTGCAATATGACTCTTATAATGATCGTCTAATAATCCAAATTAGTATTTCTCCAGCTTCTAGGTCCAGTTTCTATAAAGCCTTTGAAAAACTGTTCCAACAAATCTCAGCCAAGTCACAATCCAAGATTATGGTCGCTTATAATGTTCATCCAATCCTGCTTCCTCTTCTTTCTTCTTTTCCTAATCTTTGGACATTTTAATCCACTGAGGATGGGGAAGCAGGCATGCTAATTCCCATTCCTCAAACGAGATCATAGCTTGTGTTGTTCACTGTTTCCGGAGTTCATGAGATCCGCAGAGACGTGGGAACCCACCCTGACCCGTTGGGAACGGTTTGATAGAAAATTTAATATCCACCTGCACAAACATGGTGGAAGTCCCAGGTCTAATAGTTTGGGCACCAATCTATGCGGAAGAATAGTATTAAATGCAGAACTAAAGTCTACAAATAACAATCTCGCATAGTTCCCTTTCTTCTCCAAATGAGTCAGGACAGCATGTAATGCCATTTCCACAGCATCCTCCGTGCATCTCTTTGCTTTTTCAAAACATTTCATTATAATGGGTGTCAATGCCACAGGGCAAAAATCATTCAGACTATCTTTGGGTTTTTTGGCAGGGGTATAGAATCATAGAATCATAGAGTTGGAAGAGACCACAAGGGCCATCGAGTCCAACCCCCTGCCAAGCAGGAAACACCATCAGAGCACTCCTGACATATGGTTGTCAAGCCTCTGCTTAAAGACCTCCAAAGAAGGAGACTCCACCACACTCCTTGGCAGCAAATTCCACTGTTGGAACAGCTCTCACTGTCAGGAAGTTCTTCCTAATGTTTAGGTGGAATCTTCTTTCTTGTAGTTTGGATCCATTGCTCCGTGTCCGCTTCTCTGGAGCAGCAGAAAACAACCTTTTCCCCTCCTCTATGTGACATCCTTTGATATATTTGAACATGGCTATCATGTTCAAATATATAACCTCCTCTTCTCCAGGCTAAACATGCCCAGCTCTCTTAGCCGTTCCTCATAAGACATCGTTTCCAGGCCTTTGACCATTTTGGTTGCCCTCCTCTGGACACGTTCCAGTTTGTCAGTGTCCTTCTTGAACTGTGGTGCCCAGAATGATGGGAGCGGATTTCAGACAGGGTGGAACGGCTGCTTGGGCCAGAGACTGGTTAAAAATCTTCATAAAGATGCCTGCCAGTTGGTCCGAACAATCTCTTAGCACCCTGCCAGCCACCCCATCCGGGCCCAAAGCCTTCCTCGTGTTTACCTCCTTTAATATTTGCCTCACTTCTCCCTCTTCCACCCTGACAGCTTTTCCTGCAGGTAGTGAGGCCAATAGCTCTGACATCCCTGTTGGAGCCACTGTTGGTGTCACCTCAAATTGGGCAAAGAAGGTCTTCAACTCTCCCACCAAGGAAGCTGTACTCTCTACCACTGATGTATTTCTCGATTTATAACCAGTCAGATGTTGAACTCCCTGCCACATTTGTCTAGTATCATTTCTTAGATGGTCCTCGATTTTTCCTCTGTACTCCGCTTTTGCTTTCCTGATACCCCTCTTCAAGTTCGCTCTTTCTATACCATACGGTACCCGGTCCCCAGTTCTAAAAGCAGAGTTTCTGGCCTTCAAGAATCTCCTAACCTCTCCCATCATCCAGGGCTTCCTATTCGGATACAACTTAACATACCTTTCCCTGGTGCGTTTCCTGTGCCAAATCTAACACCGTTGATGCAGAAGTTTCTAGATCTTGATGGTCGAACATATTCCAATCGGTCTCCTGGAAACAGTCCTGCAACTGCTGAGAGGCTCCCTCAGGCCACACCGTAACCATCCGTGTTTGTAGCTGGCCTTGTTTCCTGAGGGGTGTGTGCACTGGTGTCAGAAGCAGGGACACATGATCTGAGCCACCGAGGTGCGCCTCATATGCCTGTCTAATGTTCGTATACACCTTGTCAAAAGTAGTTTCTCCCCTTATTGCACACTCAATGTGCTGATGGGATTTAGGGAGTACTGCCCTCACATCTGTGTGAGTGAAGTCCCCCACAATAATCCGCACTGCCTCCGGGTATCTGCTCAATTTAGCATTGATGTTTTCATGCATACTACTCATGGTCCTGCAGGCATTTGCTGTAGGTGCTACGTAAGAAAGCTGCAGAGATAGTGCAGGATAGTGCGCACCCCGGAAATGATCTCTTTCAGCTTCTGCCTTCTGGAAGAAGGTACAGGGTTATAAAGACTAGGACTAGCCGCCTGAGAAACAGTTTCTATCCAAATGTGATTTTGGTTTTAAATGCAGTGTAAGGTAGTCTCTATGGGAGTATATTGTATTTAATTATGGGGTATCAGAGTTTTTAGGGGGGGCTAACCAGGTTGGGATAGCAGGCTTGTTGGTTTTTGAATGTCTGATGTACATTTTTTCAATTTCGTTCTGTATGGGACAGTGACAATAAAGATTATCGTATTGTATTGAGACTCATCTGGAAAGTGCTATATCATGTTCCTTTCCCCACTTGCCAGGAGCCTGAGCTCCATTTGGGATCCCTCCTTCCGCACCCCAAGGTTCCTCCAAAGCCTTGGGGAAGGAAACTGAGGCAGGCTCAACTTGCTCCCCAGGGTCCTGCAGGGGATTCGGGGGGCAGCCTGTCTCTTCCTCTGGCCATGGCACCCCCAGGAAGCCTTGGAAGAAAGGCAGGAGATCCTCAGCAGAGAACAGCCAAGTCCGGTTCTTCTCCGCAATGGCTTCCTCTTCTGAGCTCCCTCTCTTTCTTGTCTGGGCTGGACTGGGAGGACCCCAGTTCAACAATTTCCCCATTCCCCACACTGGGCTCCACTGGCCCCCTGAGACTTCTCCTGTTGAACTACCGCCTGAGGGGGAGGAACAGATTTCTTGGCCCATCTGGGGAGCAAGCGAGGGCCATCCAGAAAGGGCTCCTGGGACCCCAAAGGGCCAGCAGGGGAGTCTCCAGCCTCGTCTGGGGAAGAGCCCACCTTTCCCCTAGGCCTGCAGGTGGAGCCCTTCTGCTTGCGCTGACTCTTGCGGTGACCAAGGATGCTGCTCCGGGGGTCAAAGTCCCCTGAGGGAACCCTCTACCTCTGAGGGCACAAAACCCTTATTACTATTATTATTATGATTCTCCTCCTTGGGCCTCCGAGACAGAGAGGGCCTTTCCCTCCTCACCCACTTCGCAGATCCCGGCAGACCCCCCAAGGCCGCTTGCCTGGCGTCTCCCAAGGGAGAGGCCTCCTCCGTGGGGCCCACATGGCGAGGAGAGAGGCTGCCCTGCGGAGGCCAAGCCATCATGGCAGGAAGGCGGCTGAGGACCAAAGGTGCCGCCCTCCTTCATCCGGGAGGAGAGACCCCGAGAGCGTGGGACCCCCGAGGCCCACAGGGGAGCCATGGTGTTTCTGGGAGCGGCTGGGGCCTCCGGGAAAAACAAAATGGCCTTCCCTCCTATTTCGGAAAAGGGCGGGAAACGCCTTCTCCTGGCCCTGCCGCTTCCATGCGCTCCTCCTGGGCCTGCCTGGCCATGGGGGGGATACAGCTGCCCCCAAAAAATGAGGGAGAAGAGAAACAGGAAGAGAAGGAGAAATGAAGGAGAAGCTGGGAAGGGGAGCAGCCATGAGGGAAACTCGGGGGGAAAACTCCCTCAGGAAACCGGGCGAAGGAGAAGAGGCGGCCCAGGGGAATCTGAAAGGGGATTGGCCAGCTGCCCAATGCAGAGGCCTCTGATTGGTCCAGCCCTGCTCTGGGGTGGGAAATGGGTCTCCTGCCTCCATGTGGTTCTGGGAGCCCAGGAGAAACTGGTTTTCTGGCAGGAAACACGGGGAAAGGATGGCAGGGGTCCCTCGTGCTCTGAACTGGGAAGAGTCCCAGAGGGAGGGCCCGCCCCCCTGAGCACCATGCGCCCCCCTCCTGCCCCCCCCCCGGTCGCGTGTGCGTTTCCTTCCTCGCCTGGGACTCTTCCTCCTCCGTCTCTCTTCCTGGGGTGAGAAGCGGCTGCAGAAGCAGAAAAACCCGTATTTTCGGGAGGGGAGGGGTCTCCCGGCTGGGAAGCCCCCCTCCCTCCCTCCCCCCCGCTGAGCTGGAGGGTGTTCCTTGGGGGGGTGTCTTGAGGGAGCCATTTCTGAGCCCAAGGCACCTCCCGCCACTAGGCAGCCTTCGCCTCTTCTCCCTCCCAGCCTTTCCTTGGGATCCAGGAGCCTCGATTTTGGGGTTGGGGGTGAGCCCAGGTAACCCCCCATGGACCCCCCCCCGTCTCCCTTGCAGTTAGTCTGGTTGGATGTGGGCTCCTTGGGGCAGAGGGAGGGAAGGGGGGCAGCCCCTAGAGCGCAGGCGCAGAAGCAGGAAAACTGAAGGCAGGGAGAGGGAGGGGAGGACTCGGCTTGTCAAGGGTTAAAAGGAGCAGAGCGGGATTCCTAGAGAGGGCAGGAAGTGAAGGGGGAGGGGGCAAGGTCCTCCAGAGCAGAAGCCCCTCCCTCCCCCTCCCTTCCTGCTTGCTTCTCTCTCCTTTGCAAAAGCCCTTCCTGGACTTTGTAGCTGCTTTAAAGTGTGGATCCAAGGGTATGTGGCAGAATAGTAATGGGGAACCCCCGTCTCCCTTGCGGTTAGTCTGGATAAGCTGTGGGCTCCTTGGGGCAGAGTCCTTGGCACAGATGGAGGAGGGGGGGAGGAAGGGGAGCCCCTAAGTGCAGGGGCAGAAGCGGGAAAGTGCAGGAATGGAGAGGGAGGGGGTCCCTCGGCTTGCAAAGGGTTAAAAGGAGCAGAGCGGGATTCCTAGAGAGGACGGGAAGTGGAGGGGGAGTGAAGGTCCTCCAGGGCTAAATCCCCCCTCCCCCTCCCTCCCTGCCTTCTTCTTCTCTCTCCTTTGCAAAAGCCCCTCCTGGACTCGGGTGAGTCTCCTCTCTCCTCCCCCTGAGGGTGCAATGGGGAGAAGGGGGTCCCAGGGGGGCAGGGAGACCCCCAAGTCGGGGAGCAGAGGGTCCTCCCTTGTCCTCTCTGCCAAGCCAGGGAGGGGCCACTTCGCAGGAGGTTTGCAGCTCTGCTCTTCCTTGGGATCCAGATGCTGCCTTCCTTTTGGGGGGAGGGGGCTTTGGGTCAAGGAAATAAACCCCCTTCAGAGGGAGGGATATGTCACATTTGTGAACAGAGGCTGCAGCCAGACGGGAACATTCCCACGTGGGGGGAGCGCAGGGAGAAGAAAAGCCCGTCTGCATCTGCAGCAGCACAACAGGACCACTTCCTCTGTCCCAGATGCAACAATATTATATTATACAACATAATATTACTACTAATAATAATAATAATAATTTATTTGTACCCCGCCCATCTGGCCGGGTTTCCCCAGCCACTCTGGGCGGCTTCCACAAAAACGAAATAGACACTATTATGTCATACATTTAAAACTTCCCTGAGCAGGGCTGCCTTAAGATGTCTTCTGAATGTCAGGTAGTTGTTTATGTCTCTCCCCTGTCGCTCTCCACACCCACAGCTGGCGCTGTGACCTTCCAACAACTGGATCTCACTCCCAAAGACACACTCTTCCATGGTCTCCCAAGACAGATGACTGCCAACCAGCCAACCATTCCCTCCCCTCACAATGCACAATTCCCTCCCCTCCCCCTCCTGGTGCCCCTGGAACTTGGCTTGAGGGCATTGGGAGGGTCCAACCCACCAGATGAAGGGAGAGGAGGTCCTTCCATCTGGAAAATGGGAATGCTTGCAAAGATTTACTTGAAGATGAGTGCCATATAGATAAAAAACATTATTTTGTGGAATTCCCCCATTTACACAAAGATTAATACCCATCATTTAAATACACAACAAAATGGTTTCAGAAAAGAACAGAGCAATGTGTAGAAAAATATCATCTTTCTTCTCCCTTTTTCTCTTAGGGTCCAGTGTGCTTTGAAGACGTAGCTGTTCCTTTCACAGAGGAGGACTTGGCTTTGCTGGATCCTGACCAGAGAGCTCTGCAGAAGGAAGTCAAGGAGGAGAATCCTGGGATCGTGGCCTCTCTGGTAAGGCTCCCTGCTGGATCATAAGATCAGTTTTGAAATTCCATACAGATCTCTGAAGGACAAACCTCCTCTATTTTGATGGAGCCCCATAGCGCCACCTACAGCATCTGAGATGTTAACACACCCACAACTCTCCATAGGACATGTATCTCCTGTTCTGTCTGGGAATATTCTTCCACCAGTCCTGCCTTTTCCAACCGTGAGGAGGCTGGTCTGAGCTGCCCAGGCCTTCTTCAGTGTAATCTTCAGAGATATTAAGGACATGGAGGTACATCCTGTCTAATTTTCTATTTTCCTTTCTGCATCTGTCTGTTTTTGGTTGAGCAAAGAAATGACTGAGCTTGGAGATGGAGCGGATTCCATGACTGACCCAAATTAAATCCATCCCTGGAAAGAGCCAGACTTTTCGAATCTCCGGGCCCCATAAATAAGTTAGATAATATCAGCCAAAAAAGGCAGTAACTCCCTTCCCTTCTTCCTTTTTCACAAGCATTCATTTGCATTGTTCACTAAATTCAGACTCTTATCTATTCCTGAGGCTATTATAATAATTAATTAATAATACTGCCATGGGTTGTAGGTGGTAGGTGGTGAATTGGAAAGGAAGAAGAATGGAGACAATAAGAAAATCCACATAATGGAGAAACCATATAAATATTCAGAGTGTGGGGAGAACTTTAGTCAGAGCTCCCAGTCCACTTCCCATCAAGGAAAGCTCTTCGTTCAGAAGGAGAGCCTCACTTCACATGAAAGAACTAACGGGGGGAAGAAATTAGTGCTTGAAATGTGGAAAAAGCTTCCTTCGCAGCTCCACCCACAATTCCCATGAGATACTTCATACAGGGGAGTGTTTGGAAAAAGCTTCATGCAGGTCAGAAACCAGATCAGTGCTTGGAATGTGGAAAGAGCTTCATTCAGTTGGTGAATCCAATTTTCCATGAAATATTTCCTGCAAGGGACTGTTTAGAATGTGGAAAAAGCTTCACCTAGGAAACCAGTCTCAATTTCCATTAAATAAAACACAGCAGGGATAATCAGAGAATTTTAGAAAATGGTATAAGACATATGGTATAACTGGTATTAGGAAACTTCATGAGGAATTAAGGGGAAAGATAGCATTGACCCAGAGTAGTTACAAAATTTATGGTCTCCCCCCGAGTGCCAGGGACCCTCCTCCAAAGAGAGCTTTTTTTTGTCGGAATTATTTCCTTTTTCCCAATTTTTGGCAATTAATGTTCTCACTGCCACTGTGGCACAAAGAAATATTTCCTTTTTTTTTTTTATCTACATCTAATATTCCCAATAAAAAGGCTTCTGTTCTTTGGGGCAAAATTTTGTTCAAAAGTTTTCTTTAGTTCTTCATACACCGTATCCCAGAAGCCCTTGATTTTATCACATGGCCACCACATAGGCAGAAGTGTCCCCTCTACTTGCCTCACAAGCCGTAAAATTCCAACTCTCCTTGCATAATTTTTCCCATGATGTTAATTGAATAGGTTTCCCTAAATCCATAGCCAATTTGATCATTACTGCCTTTACCTGTTCATCCATATCCTTCCACTCCAATAAGATTCCATACATTTTAGAAATTACTTTTGTTTTGTTTTGTAATAATTCTTTATCCAATACTGAAATTGCAAAACCCTCTTTCTTGTCAGCTTTGAAGACCTCATTTATTTGGTGATACTGGATCCACCCTGTTAGGTGGTGTTTTATTTCCTCCCGCAGTTTGGTCAGACTCATGCTGGTAGCTTCAAGAACACTGTCCCACCATCTCGTCCTCTGTCGTCCCCTTCTCCTTGTGCCCTCCATCTTTCCCAACATCAGGGTCTTTTCCAGGGAGTCTTCTCTTCTCATGAGGTGGCCAAAGTCTTGGAGCCTCAGCTTCACTATCTGTCCTTCCAGTGAGCACTCAGGGCTGATTTCCTTCAGAATGGAGAGGTTGGATATTCTTGCAGTCCATGGGACTCTCAAGAGTCTCCTCCAGACCAGAATTCAAAAGCATAAATTCTTCGGCGATCAGCCTTCTTGATGGTCCAGCTCTCACTTCCATGCATCACTACTGGGAAAACCATGGCTTTAACTATACGGACCTTTGTTGGCAAGGTGATGTCTCTGCTTTTTAAGATGCTGTCTAGGTTTGTCATTGCTTGTCTCCCAAGAAGCAGGCGTCTTTTAATTTTGTGACTGCTGTCACCATCTGCAGTGATCATGGAGCCCAAGAAAGTAAAATCTCTCACTGCCTCCATTTCTTCCCCTTCTATTTGCCAGGAGGTGATGGGACCAGTGGCCATGATCTTCGTTTTTTTGATGCTGAGCTTCAGACCATATTTTGCGCTCTCCTCGTTCACCCTCAATAAAAGGTTCTTTAATTCCTCCTCACTTTCTGCCATCAAGGTTGTGTTATCTGTGTATCTGAGGTTGTTGATTTTTCTTCCGACAATCTTAATTCCGGCTAGGGATTCATCCAGCCCAGCTTTTCGCATGATGAATTCTGCATATAAGTTAAATAAGCAGGGAGACAAAATACAGCCTTGTCGTACTCCTTTCCCAATTTTGAACCAATCACTTGTTCCATATCCAGTTCTAACTGTAGCTTCTTGTCCCATATAAAGATTTCTCAGGAGACAGATGAGATGATCAGGCACTCCCATTTCTTGAAGAACTTGCCATAGTTTGCTGTGGTCGACACAGTCAAAGGCTTTTGCATAGTCAATGAAGCAGAAGTAGATGTCTTTCTGGAACTCTCTAGCTTTCTCCATAATCCAGCGCATGTTTGCAATTTGGTCTCTGGTTCCTCTGCCTCTTCTAAATCCAGCTTGCACTTCTGGGAGTTCTCGGTCCACATACAACTTAAGCCTGCCTTGTAGAATTTTAAGCATAACCTTGCTAGCGTGTGAAATGAGTGCAATTGTGCGGTAGTTGGAGCATTCTTTGGCACTCCCCTTCTTTGGGATTGGGATGTAGACTGATCTTCTCCAATCCTCTGGCCACTGCTGAGTTTTCCAAACTTGTTGGCATATTGAGTGTTGCACCTTAACAGCATCATCTTTTAAAATTTTAAATAGTTCAGCTGGAATATCATCACTTCCACTGGCCTTGTTATTAGCAGTGCTTTCTAAGGCCCATTTGACTTCACTCTCCAGGATGTCTGGCTCAAGGTCAGCAACCACACTACCTGGGCTGTACGAGACATCCATATGTTTCTGGTATAATTCCTCTGTGTATTCTTGCTATCTCTTCTTGATGTCTTCTGCTTCTGTTAGGTCCTTACCACTTTGGTCCTTTATTATGGTAATCTTTGTACAAAATGTTCCTTTCATATCTCCAATTACATTGAACAGATCTCTGTTTTCCCCCATTCTATTGTTTTCCTCTATTTCTTTGCATTGCTCGTTTAAGAAGGCCCTCTTGTCTCTCCTTGCTATTCTTTGGAAATCTGTATTCTATTTCTTGTAGGTCTGCCTTGGATTCGTATCAAGATCATTCTATCATTTTTCAGATTGCATCCCAGTACAGCTTTTGCCACTCTTTTCTTGACTACGAGGGCCACTCCATTTCTTTTACGGGATTCTTGCCCACAGTAGTAGTTATGATGGTCATCTGAACTGAATTCGCCCATCCCTGTCCATTTTAGTTCACTGATGCCCAGGATGTCAATATTTATTCTTGCCATCTCATTTTGACCACATCCAGCTTACCTTTCGGCTTTGGCCCAGCCGCTTCATCCGCTCTGAATCTACTTGTCCTTGTCCTCCGCTCTTCCTCAGTAGCATGTTGGACGCCTTCTGACCTGAGGGGCTCATCTTCCAGCGTCATCACTTTTATATGCCTGTTGCCTTTGTCCATGGAGTTTTCTTGGCAGGGCTGCTGGAGTGGCTTGCCGGTTCCTGCTCCAGGTGGATCACGTTTGGTCTAAACTCTCCACTATATCCTGTCCATCTTGGGTGGCCCTGCACAGCTTAGCTCATAGCTTCTCTGAGTTATTCAAGCCCCTTCGTCACAACAGGGCAGTGAAAGTGGCCCAATTCAATTCTGTCCATTAAACTTTAATTAGTTTAATGTTAAGTAAACGTCCAGTGCGCTTTCAACGCCATAAGCCTTATCTCAGCAGAGAATTTCGTGCAGCGGTTGAAGAAGGCAGGAGAGTCAGTACCTTTCAATGAAGAATCCTGGAGCAAGCACTTTGGAACTCAAGAAAAAAAACTTTATTTACAAAAGAAAAACCCTGGCGATAAAGCACACATGCTTTTATCTCCAGCATAAAGAAAACTTTACTCTAAACTTAACTCATATTAGCAAACACGGGGGAGAGAGAGAACACACGGGTGAACTGACTATTTATACAAACTAACTCACATTCCTAGATGCTTAATGACTTCCAGCTGCTCAGTGATTAGAGCGACTTGTTACCTCTTAACCCTTTAGTACCAACACCCCCTCTCGCTCGTAACACTGAGCTGTACCAACCTTAATTCAAATTTAAACCTGAACAGAAATATTTATGAGATTGCGGACTCAAAGCTTTTGTAAAACCGTCTGCGAGATTTTCTTTGCTTGGACAATACTTTAGTTCAATTAAACCTTGTTTTACACTTTGGCATACATTTTGATAACGGATATCCAAGTGTTTTGTGAGTGCCTTGAATTGACCTGATTTAGCTAGTTTAATACAAGGTTGATTGTCTTCCCACACTCTGATAGGTAGGGAACATTCTCCAAACAATTCTTGTACCAGTTGCTTATAAAATTCCAGTTCTCTACATACATCTGATAATGCATTGAACTCAGATTCAGTTGAACTTAAAGCTATAAGTGATTGCTTTCTTGATCTCCAACCAATTAGTGCATTTCCAAATTTTATCGCCATCCCTGACACTGATTTTCTATCTGGTCCAGCATCTGCCCAACTGCTGTCGGCCCAACATTCAAGTTGTGTGCTGCCCTCTGCTGATAGTTTTAAGCGAAACCTTTTGGTAGTTTGGAGATACCTTAAAACTCTTTTTACTCCTTGCCAAGCATGCATTGATGGTTTTTCAGCTTGTCTACACAGCATGTTGACAGCATATGTTATATCGGGCCGAGTCCACTGTGCAATGTGGAGTAGACTGCCTATCGCTGACTGGTAAACCCGGGATTACTGAACTCTGCCTGTTGCCCGGCTTGAGCATCCTTTGTGTAACTTAACTCCATTGGGGTTTTAACACCAGCACAGTCGTCCATTTTAAACCTTTCCAGCAACTGCTGGATCTTAGCTTCTTGGCTGAGCCAATAGTTCCCATTTTCATCTTGCTGAATTTTAACTCCTAGATAAACAGATACAGTGCCTAGTGATTTTATCTGAAACTTTTCTCCAAGCTTTGTGGCAAATTGTTGTGCAAGTTTATCGTCCTTTCCACTGTATAATAAATCGTCAACAAATATCAAAATAGCTTCTTGTTCACATCCCGAGCCTTTTAGATAAAGACACGCATCTGCTGCGCTCTTTCTGAACCCCATGCTCTCTAGAGCATCGTTTAAGCAGGAATTCCAATTACAGGCGGACTGTTTCAACCCATAAATGGATTTGTGTAGGCGCCAGACCTGGTTTGGCTTGTCTCCTTCAAAACCTGGTGGTGGTGTCATATAGACTTCCTCCTGTAAGTCTGCATTTAAATAAGCCACATTGACATCAAAATGAAACAGCTTATTTCCCTTCTTAGCTGAAGAGGCTAAAAGCATTCTTAATGACTCCGATCTTGAAGTAGGGGCATAGATTTGAGAATAGTGAACACCTTTGCACTGCGAAAAACCTTTTGCAACTAGTCGGGCTTTATATTGCAACTCCTCAGTGGTTGTGGGCTTTAAACGATATACCCATCGACAACCTACAGCTTGTTGCCCTTTCGGAAGCTCTGTACTTGTAAACACACCGAGAGACTTCATTGAAGCCATCTCTTTTTCCATTGCTTCCTGCCACTTTACGGCTTCTGAGCTTGGAAGCTGTTGTACCTCTATATAGCTATCTGGCTCACACTGTGCCATATTTACGTATACACTTGTCACCTTAAACCGCTCTGGTGGTTTGCCCTTTGTGGCACGTTTTGATCTGCGCAATTGTTCCTCTTGTGCCCCCTCTGGCCGTTGGCTGTCAGAATCTGTCTCAGACTTTATATCTGGATGCGCCCCTAGGGATAAAGACCTCCGTTTAGATACCTCCCTTGGGCTTGGTGTTGCAGGCGACCTGCTTCGCTTTTGCTGTCTGCTAGGCCTACTGACTGGCGATGTTGGAACACTCCTAGATTCTGGCTTTTCTACCTTAGGAGAAGAACCTTGTGCCTGGTCAGAATCTGCATCTGAACCATGTGCACCATCCCCTTCTGGCTCACCACCCTCTGGACTTTCATTCTCAGCATAAATGCCTAAATCATCTCTCAAAATGTCAGGGTTAGCATGTAAGTGAGTCCATCCGGATTGCTCACAAAATTCAGCGCTCCTACTGATGACCACTCTTGTAGTATTCCCATCTGGGTTCACGAACCTCCAAGATTTGGCGTGTGGTTCGTACCCACAAAAGATGAGTTTCCTAGCCCTTGGACTTCCCTTTTTCCTTAACGCTTTTGGGATAAGTACATAGGCTTGAGATCCAAACACCGAAAGTAATTAACTTTGGGCTTCTTCCCGTATAAAGCAAAATATGGCGTAGTATCAATTACCGAATTATATACTCGGTTCAGAATATGAGTAGCCGTCTGCCAGGCTTCCGCCCAGTAACTTTGAGGGAGTTTAGAATCAAATAACATAGAGTTTGCCAACTCTTGCAGAACCCTGTTTTTACGTTCGGCCACGCCTCCTTCTTGGGGGGAATAAGGTGTAGACAGACGATGCTTAATTCCCTTTTTCTTAAAGAAATTCTGCAACACAGACCCGGTAAATTCTAACCCTCTGTCTGTCTGAAAAGCAAGTACTCTAGTACCGAATTCAAGTTCTACTGCATGAACCCAATTTTTAACTGTTTCTGCAGTATCTGCTTTTGTTTTGATAGGAAAAAACCATGTGACTTTTGTTTTGTCATCCGAGAGACACAGTGCATACCTCGAACCTCCCATGCTAGCAACAGGCATTGGGCCACATAGGTCCATATGCACAAGTTGGAATACTTTGTCAGATTTCCTATCTGAACTGGGATAGCTGCATCTATGAACCTTCGCCCTTTTGCATGCAGTACAATCCAAATACTTAGTACATTTGTTCATTTTGCACCCTTCTGATAATTCAGGTTGCCTTTTAACGTACTGAAAATTAATATGTCCCAAACGGCGGTGCCATAAATGAACACAAGAATTATGGGTAGGCGAGTTCACACAACCAGCATGAACCTGTTCAACTTCATCTGGACTTGTCTCAAAATAATATAACCCATTTCTGCATTCCACCTGCAAAAGAGATACGTTATTCTTTGAAATAGTGCAAACCCCATTTTCAAACACAGTTTTAAACCCATCTCTATCAAGTTCTGACACAGACAAAATACACCCCTTCATTCCCTTTAGCACATAGGCATCAATTTCTGTATGCAAACAATTCAAGAACACTGTGCCTACGGTCTCTAAGGAACGTTTAGTTGAATCTGCCATTGTCACAACTTTATGTTAGATAATTGATTTATTGCTCAGATAAGCCTGAGGTCCGGCACACTTCCCCCATCGCAGCTCTGCATTCCAATGTCCATATCTGAGCATAGCAGAGTTCGTCAGCGGCAAGAGGAAACTGCAGGGGGAAAAAAACTCCAGTGCATTCTTCAGTGTGCTTAAATAAAGTCCACTCAGGATCTTAGCAGCTAAAAGCAGTTTTATTTACAGCAGGCTATCCATTATCTATCACAGCGAACAGCATCGCGAAACACGTCCTCTCTCCTCAAAAGCGAAAGTAGAGAGAAAGAACAAAGACTTTAGTCTCTCGGAACTGACGTAGGAGTTCCCCCCTCCCACTAGTAGGCAGAGCGTACACTCTGAGCTGTTTAACCCTGTAAGCTCAGGTTCTCCTCACACTTTAAGGGTTTGCAAATGCCTGCAATTCTGCAAACGGACACTAGATGGCGCCACCAGGTGGTGAGATGCACCACTGTCGATCAACCAGCGTAGATTGCTGCCTTGGCCACGCCCTTGCATCAACGCCATTGCTGAAGCCATGTGCTGTGTGCTGTGGGAGTAGCCACGACCTCCTCCTCTTCTTCGACGTCCCCTGGAACTCCTTGTCTGGTAACTAGGGGTAACGGCCTTGGTGCTGTCTTGACCAGGTTCACGTGTGCAGTTCCTGATTAAATGGGAAGAGGAACCACAGCGAAAACAGTGTCTAGCTGCAAAAGCATTTACTGTGTTCTCAAACTCAGCATCCCCACTCCTAGGCACAGCACAACTCCCCTTTGAAGACAAACCTCTTTCTCTTTGCCTTTTATCCTGTTCATCTGCAAGCCGAGAAGAAATGTATTCAAGGGTTAATTCAGCTGAAGGCATAGCTTCCAAAGTTAAAGCTAGAGTCTCATAGCTTTTATCAAGAGAAGACAACAATATGTATGACTGCTGCTCCATAGAGAAGGAATGCCCAGCTGTCTTAGTTGATTAAAGGCAGACACCATTTTGGCAATATGTTCTTTCACACACGCTCCCGGTTGGAGACGTAAATCAAACAAACATCTTGTAGCATGGATCTTGGCCCCCGCAGTGTTTCTGGAATTTAGCCGCTGCAGGACCGTCCAGACCTCATGCGTGTTCTTTAACTCAGAAACATAAGGCATTTGCTCTGGTCCCACTGCCAAAACTAATAGACCTTGGGCTTTCCTGTCGCGTTTCTGTGAAGCTGCTGCTGCTGCTTTGTCTTCTGCAGACGCGTCTGCAGCTGCCTGTAAAGGCGGTGCTTCAGTACAACTCCACAACTCTTTTGCTTGCAACCAAACCCTTACTCTAGCCTTCCAATCTTGCCAATTTTTCCCATTGAGTCGCGTAAACGGGACAGCAAAACTTTCCTGGGACTCTGCCATACTCCCTGGGGCTTAGGAACGATACTCACACACCTGTAGACCGTCTCCAAGCTGCTGAGGTGGCTCCTTGAGGAATAAGACGTCTTCCAGCGAGTACAAACTGCGCAGTGCCTGTTTAAAACTTTTTCTAGGCGCGTTGCAGGACTCAAGCTGCTTTGAAGGCTTTCGTTGTTGGCAACCGCTTCTGTCTTCACTCCAGTCCTTTCATAAATCACTCTGAACTGCACTCCTTATCTCCTTCTTGACGTACAAACAGCCATAACCTGTCCATTAAACTTTAATTAGTTTAATGTTAAGTAAACGTCCAGTGCGCTTTCAACGCCATAAGCCTTATCTCAGCAGAGAATTTCGTGCAGCGGTTGAAGAAGGCAGGAGAGTCAGTACCTTTCAATGAAGAATCCTGGAGCAAGCACTTTGGAACTCAAGAAAAAAAACTTTATTTACAAAAGAAAAACCCTGGCGATAAAGCACACATGCTTTTATCTCCGGCATAAAGAAAACTTTACTCTAAACTTAACTCATATTAGCAAACACGGGGGAGAGAGAGAACACACGGGTGAACTGACTATTTATACAAACTAACTCACATTCCTGGATGCTTAATGACTTCCAGCTGCTCAGTGATTAGAGCGACTTGTTACCTCTTAACCCTTTAGTACCAACAAATTCCATATTTTTCTTTCCCCCAGTTATTGCTTCTAGTACCGTAATAAAAAGTAGAGACGAAAGGGGGCAGCCTTGCCTGGTCCCCTTACTTACTTTACTTCTCTTATTTCACTATTTAGTATCAATTTGGCTCTCTGATTTCAATATATTGCCTCAACACCCCTAATAATATTTTCTCCAAGTCCTGTTTTTTCTGTATTTTTTTTCATGAATGTAATGGTTTTAGGGGTTGCTCGTGCGTAAGCCGGTGTTTATCTCCCCGGCAGGGTGCAAACACCTGGCTGGGTTGCCTAAGTGAACCTTTTCTGTCCGGACAGCCACTTACCCATGGCTGACTCAATCGCTGGCAGAATCCGTCAGTGGGCGTTTCTTAAACTTCTTCCAGCAAAGAAGCTCTTTGACGCCTAGTCTCCTCCTACTCTCTCTGCGCGGAAGCCTTCTGCGCAAGGAGGGCGTGGGCAACGGAGGACCCTACTCTCTCCGCTGGTCCCAGGCAAGGAGTCATGGGACCACCTCGCCGCTTCCCCCATCTGCCCCCCTTCTCCACTGGTGCTACGCTGATTCTCTTCCCCAGAAGATGGGCTGCTTCTCCCGATCCCTGGACGCTCTCTAGAATCTCTCTGGAGCTTGCTCTCTCCCTCCCGCACTGATGGCAGTTCCCTGACATCCACCTCCTCCTCAGGACCCACCCCCCCACCCCTGGCGCGATCTTCCGATACATCCTCCTCTCTCTCCTCAACCGACGATGCGGGGAATCCCCTGAAAGAACTGTCATCCTCTTCTGAGGATTCAAAACCAGCCTCCCATCCGCTCGGATCTCTTCCTGCTGGTTGAACCTCCCAGTCTGATTCTTCTCCCTCGGACACCTCCCCTCCCTCCCCTTCGGAGGCAGGAAAACCCACAATGTAGTCCCCTTCGTCGTCTGTAGGTCCAAATTCTTCCTCCCAGAATCTAGCTAATGGTTTGGGCTTACTCGGGAACAAACCATGAAACTCTTCCACCAGATACCCGTCAGTGATTGATTCTGCAGGGACCCAGGTGTTTTCAGACCTAGGTTCCCCCTCCCAGGCTACTAAGTACTCTACCTGGCTACCTCGCCACCTTGAATCGAGTATTTCCGTAGCTTCGTTGCAGTGTTCCCTCTCCTCTACCCGCGGGTGGGTGGTAACCCCTCCCTCTCGTCCCGGGAATTCCCGCCCCTCCCTGTAAGGCAAAAGTAGGGACCTATGGAACACCGGATGTATCTTCATGCTGTCAGGCAATGTTTGAGTTTAAATGCCACTGGGTTAACCTGCTGTATTACCTCAAAAGGCCCCAGCCGCCTAGGCTGCAACTTCTTGCACCCCCCCCTTTAGGGGCAACCCTTGGGATGACAACCACACCCGGTCTCCCACCCGTATGGCCTCCCCCTCCCGACTGTCTGCCTGCCTCTTGTAAACTTCCTTGGCCCGCTCCAAGTTCAGCCTGAGTTGCTGGTGTAAGGCCTCCATTTCCTCCACAAATTGCTCAGCCGCAGGTACACTCCATCCTTCCTCCCCCCGCCCCGGGAAGGCCCTGGGGTGACACCCGTAATTGGCCATGAAAGGGCTCATTCCCGTGGACATGTGTTCGGCAGTATTGTACGCAAATTCAGCCAAAGCTAATTTCTCTACCCAATCGTTCTGCCTTTCGCTGACATAGCAGCGTAGATACTGCTGGAGTATACCGTTTGCTCTTTCGGCCTGCCCATTGGTTTCTGGGTGCCTCGCCGTCGAAGCTCACCTCGACCTGTAGCAAGCTCATGAGTCTCCGCCAGAACCGGGAGGTAAATTGTTTCCCGCGATCCAAGATTACCCTCAATGGGGCCCCATGCAGTCTAAAAATGTGGTCCACAAACAGCCTGGCTGTCTCCTCTGCTGTTGCTGCATGCGAGCAAGCTACGAAATGGCACATTTTAGTCAGTAGATCGACCACTACCATGATCACTGTCTTTCCCCTTGACTTGGGCAGATCTGTCATAAAATCAATGGACACCACCTCCCAGGGCCTTTCCGGTGTAGGTAAGAGTTCCAGTAGCCCCGCGGGAGCAGTCCTTTCCCCCTTTGCCCTCTGGCATTGGTCGCACCCTCGTACATATTCTCGTACGTCTTCCCTAACCTTTGGCCACCAAAACTGCCTGGTGACAAGCAGTGGCGTAGCGTGGGTTGTCAGCACCCGGGGCAAGGCAAGTAATTTGCGCCCCCTAACCCTAACCCCCAGATGTTGCGCCCGGTGCGGCCGGCTCCCCCTGCACCCCCCACGCTACACCACTGGTGACAAGTAGCATGGTCTTGTGCTGTCCAAAGTGCCCAGCTGTTGGGTTGTCATGGAGCTGTCGTAAGTACCTTCCCCCTCAAAGTCTCCCCCGGTACATACAGCGCCCCCTTATAGTACAGTAGCCCTTCCTTTTCCTCAAACCCTCCATTGTCTTCCTTTCTGTCCCTGAGCTCCCTGATTTTTGTCTGAGCAAACTCATCGTCTCTGGTGAGCCCTGCCAGTTCTCGTTTCCCAACCCACGCACCTCCACACACCCACCGGTCCTCGGGGAACACGTGCCTGGTCTCTGGTGGCCCCTCCCCTTCCATGTACTCCGGTTTCCTGGAGAGTGCATCTGCCCTTACGTTTTCCCCTCCCGGCACGTATCGTATCTCGAAGAAAAACTTGGCGAACTCCTGGGACCATCTGATCTGTCTCTGGTTGAGCACTCGCGCGGTCCGCCAGTATTCCAAGTTCTTGTGGTCAGTTCGGACCTGGATCTTGTGCCACGCCCCCTATCAAGAGATGTCTCCATTGCGGAAATGCCACATAGATCGCAAGCAGTTCTCGGTCATACACCGTGTAGTTTTGCTCCGACTTGCTCAGCTTCCTAGAGAAAAAGGCACACGGTCTCCACTGGAGAGGTATAGAAATGGGGCTTCTGTTGGGAAGGGGCTGCCCCATTTGTGCTTCTCCAGGGGCAGGAGAATCCCTGCAGGGCCTCTGAGGCTGCCTTTCCTTCTTCCTCTCTCCCAGGACCCTGCAGCTTCTTTTGGCTCCTTGACTCTTCAGGAAGGATAAAAGGGACAGATTGTGCAAACCTAGTGAGAATGGAAGGGGGAAGATGGACGGATGACCTGGTCAGGTTGTCTCCTGCGTCCCTCCTCTCAACCTCTGAGTGTTCCCTCCCAAGGACCTCCGAGAGATCTGGTGAGTCCCAGGGGAGGGGAGATGGGGACCTGGATGGATGGAGCCAGAGAGGAATTGGGGGGGGGAGGCAGGCGGATGGAGATCGAGAAGGGGAGCACCTTTTTGGGCTCCCCCACCTGCCTGCCTGCCTGCCTGCGCCTTTGTCATCTGCAGGCAATTTGAGCCAGGAATAGATCACAGCTCCCCACCCAACGCGATGAATTGGCAGCTCTAAATGTCTAAACCAGTTCTGTGATCTGAATGCCCTGCCAATGTCAGAAAACTCACTGATCCTGCTTTGCAGTTTGAATGCAGATGGGGCCTCTGTGTGTTGTCTTTTCCTTTTTGGAATAATTTCTTATTTGCTTTTAAAAACAAGGATCATAGGACTAATAAATGATACAAATATGAAGACTAAGTCTTCGCATGCCATTTGCATCTCAAAAATAGCAGAATAAATTTGCAGGAATATCTAGTAACATATGGTTCATCATTAGTGGTCGGTGTATGAGTTCTGGGTTCATGAATTGGTTTGAACTGAGTTATAGTCACGTTTCCTCTTCTGTTGCTAATGAAAAAATACAGAGTTGGTCTCCTCATGGACTTGGGAGGGGAGTTCAAAGTGAAGAAAGTGATTTACGTATAAATTTAAATTTAGACCGACTAGATTGAGGCAGCAGCTGACGGGGAGTCTTCAGGTGAAGATGTTGCTGTTTGTTTCACAGACGAGACGTGGACGTTCCATACATATCTGTATGTGATGAACTTCAACTCTTTGGTTGGAGACCAACAGCATCTGGGATTCTAATATCCCCCACCGTGAACCCAGAATGGAGGGATATCAACTGTTTCCTCTGTGAATGTTCTGCGTCTAGTCATGCCTTTTAAAACAGTGAACAGGCTTCTCTGAACCACCCAGGCCTTCTTAAATGCCGGCTTCAGAGTTTTTAGGGAGGTTGATGTAAATTCTGTCAGGCGTGTTGTTTTTGCTTCTGTTTGCATTTGATTGACCAGAGATGACTGACCTTGGAGATGGAGTGGATTCCAGGATTGAGCAAGAACAAAATCCATTCCAGATAAAAGCCAAGCAATATGTCAGTAAATACCGGCCAACAAAGGCAGTGAAAACTATAGAGAGGCCCCACATCTAGCTATTTTTAGTTCTTCCTCTATCACAAGCATTAATTAACTTGGTTCAATGATCTGGAGCTCCATTTTTTCTGAGGCTCTAATTCGCTTCTCTCTTCATTGCAGATGGAGATGAACTGGAAGGGAAGAACAAGGGGGAGCACAACAGAATCCACGTAGCAGAGAAGTCAAATAAACATTCAGAGTGTGGAGAGAACATTGGTCAGAGCTCCCATTTCACCTCCCGTCAAAGAAAGAGCTTCGTTCAGAGGGATAGCCTCACTGCACACAAAAGAGGACAGAGCAGGGAGAAACCCTATCAGTGCTTGCAATGTGGGAAGAGCTTCAGTCAAAGGACCCATCTCACTTTCCATCAAATAATTCATACCGGGGAGAAACCCTATCAGTGCTTGGAATGTGGGAAAAGCTTCAGTCAGAGGGGCAATCTCACTTCCCATCAAAGAACGCATACAGGAGAAAAACGCTATCAGTGCTTGGAATGCGGAAAGAGCTTCAGTCACAGGCACCGTCTCACTTCCCATCGCAGAATTCATACAGGGGAGAAACCCTATCAGTGCATGGAATGTGGGAAGAGCTTTAATCAAAGCGCACATCTCACTTCCCATCAAAGAATTCATACCGGGGAGAAACCCTATCATTGTCTGGAATGTGGAAAGAGCTTCAGTCTCAGGCAGAATCTCACTTCCCATCAAAGAACTCATACAGGAGAAAAACGCTATCAGTGCTTGGAATGTGGGAAGAGCTTCAGGGAGGCGGCCAAGCTCACTTTGCATCAAAGAACTCATAAAGGGGAGAAACCCTATCAGTGCTTGGAATGTGGAAAGAGCTTCAGTCAGAAGGTGAATCTCACTTCGCATCAAAGAACTCATACAGGGGAGAAGCCCTATCAGTGCTTGGAATGTGGAAAGAGCTTCACTGATAGCTCCAGTCTCACTTCCCATCGCAGAATTCATACAGAAGAAAAACCCTATCAGTGCTTGGAATGTGGAAAGAGCTTCAGTCAAAGCGCCAATCTCACTTCCCATCAAAGAATTCATACCGGGGACAAACCCTATCATTGTCTGGAATGTGGAAAGAGCTTTCGTCAGAGTGGTGATCTCACTTCCCATCACAGAATTCATACAGGAGAGAAACCCTATCAGTGCTTTGAATGCGGGAAGAGCTTCAGGGAGGGGACAAAGCTCACTTTGCATCAAAGAACTCATAAAGGGGAGAAACCCTATCAGTGCTTTGAATGTGGAAAGAGCTTTCGTCAGAAGGTGAATCTCACTTCCCATCAAAGAACTCATACAGGGGAGAAACCCTATCAGTGCATGGAATGTGGAAAGAGCTTCAATCGGAAGGATAGTCTCACTTCCCATCACAGAAATCATACCGGGGAGAAACCCTATCAGTGCTTGGAATGTGGAAAGAGCTTCAGTCTCAGGCAGAATCTCACTTCCCATCAAAGAACTCATACAGGAGAGAAACCCTATCAGTGCTTCGAATGCGGGAAGAGCTTCAGTCAGAGCTCCCATCTCACTTGCCATCAAAGAATTCATACAGAGGGGAAACCAAAAAAGAGAAATAAAACAAAAAATATTAAACAATCCTTACAAAATACAATTGTATAGAAAAGAGAATGGGGCGGATATAAACGAAAAATACTGTTTATGACATTTGTATCATATATATGATATCATTCGTCAACCCATAGAAAGACAGGCTCCCCCACTTCTCCCCTGCGTGACCCCCTCTTCTTCCCGTATCCCACCCTGAGAGATCCTTCCCTGCGTTCCTTGCAGGTCCCTCGCACCTCCAACTCTCCTCTTCCTATGTGTGTCCTCCTAAATTCAAAATAAAGGAATCTTAATATAAAATACAAAAAATAGATGATGATGATGATGATGATGATTTATTGATACCCTTCCCATCTGGCTGGGTTTCCCCAGTCACTCTGGGCAGCTTCCAACAAAATATTAAAATACAGTAATGCATCAAATATTAAAAGCTTCCCTAAACAGGGCTGCCTTCAGATGTCTTCTTAAAGTCTGGTAGTTGTTTTTCCTTTGACATGTGCTGGGAGGGTGTTCCACAGGGCAGGCACCGAAAAGAAAACCCCCATCTCCATCTGAAAATCATCTGTAGCAACAATTATTCATAATTTGCACTCCAGAATAAACCCAGCTGTATTTAGCATACAGTGGTGTAGTGGTTAAGAGCGGTAGATTCGTAATCTGGGGAACCGGGTTCGCATCTCAGCTCCTCCACATGCAGCTGCTGGGTGACCTTGGGCCTGTCACACTTCTGTGAAGTCTCTCAGCCCCACTCACCTCACAGAGTGTTTGTTGTGGGGGAGGAAGGGGAAGGAGAATGTTGGCCGCTTTGAGACTCCTTCGGGTAGTGATAAAGCGGGATATCAAATCCAAACTCTTCTTCTTCTTCTCCTCTTCACCAAGATGACACATTCCCTTCGTCTCCCTCCCTAGCCCAGCTTTCAAATCTTAACCAACTCAGACAGTGCAATATGACTCTTATAATGATCGTCTAATAATCCAAATTAGTATTTCTCCAGCTTCTAGGTCCAGTTTCTATAAAGCCTTTGAAAAACTGTTCCAACAAATCTCAGCCAAGTCACAATCCAAGATTATGGTCTCTTATAATGTTCATCCAATCCTGCTTCCTCTTCTTTCTTCTTTTCCTAATCTTTGGACATTTTAATCCACTGGGGATGGGGAAACAGGCATCTTAATTCCCTTTCCTCAAATGAGATCATAGCTTGTGTTGTTCACCGTTTCCGGAGTTCATGAGATCCGCAGAGACGTGGGAATAGTATTAAATGCAGAACTAAAGTCTACAAATAACAATCTCGCATAGTTCGCTTTCTTCTCCAAATGAGTCAGGACAGCATGTAAAGCCACAGCATCCTCCGTGGATCTCTTTGCTTTTTCAAAACATTTCATTATAATGGGTGTCAATGCCACAGGGCAAAAATCATTCAGACTATCTTTGGGTTTTTTGGCAGGGGTATAGAATCATAGAATCATAGAGTTGGAAGAGACCACAAGGGCCATCGAGTCCAACCCCCTGCCAAGCAGGAAACACCATCAGAGCACTCCTGACATATGGTTGTCAAGCCTCTGCTTAAAGACCTCCAAAGAAGGAGACTCCACCACACTCCTTGGCAGCAAATTCCACTGTCGAACAGCTCTCACTGTCAGGAAGTTCTTCCTAATGTTTAGGTGGAATCTTCTTTCTTGTAGTTTGGATCCATTGCTCTGTGTCCGCTTCTCTGGAGCAGCAGAAAACAACCTTTCTCCCTCCTCTATGTGACATCCTTTGATATATTTGAACATGGCTATCATATCACCCCTTAACCTCCTCTTCTCCAGGCTAAACATGCCCAGCTCCCTTAGCCGTTCCTCATAAGGCATTGTTTCCAGGCCTTTGACCATTTTGGTTGCCCTCCTCTGGACCCGTTCCAGTTTGTCAGTGTCCTTCCTGAACTGTGGTGCCCAGAACTGGACACAGTACTCCAGGTGAGGTCTGACCAGAGCAGAATTCAGTGGCACTATTACTTCCCTTGATCTAGATGCTATACTCCTATTGATGAAGCCCAGAATTGCATTGGCTTTTTTAGCTGCCGCGTCACACTGTTGGCTCATGTCAAGTTTGTGGTCAACCAAGGCTCCTACATCCTTTTCACATGTACTGCTCTCAAGCCAGGTGTCACCCATCTTGTATTTGTGCCTCTCATTTTTTTTTGCCCCAGTGCAATACTTTACATTTCTCCCTGTTAAAGTTCATCTTGTTTGTTTTGGCCCAGTTCTCTAATCTGTCAAGGTCATTTTGAAGTGTGATCCTGTCCTCTGGGGTGTTAGCCACCCCTCCCAGTTTGGTGTCATCTGCAAATTTGATCAGGATGCCCTTGAGTCCATCATCCAAGTCGTTGATAAAGATGTTGAATAAGACCGGGCCCAAGACAGAACCCTGTGGCACCCCACTAGTCACTCTTCTCCAGGATGAAGAGGAACCATTGATGAGCACCCTTTGGGTTCGGTCAGTCAGCCAGTTACAAATCCACTGAGTGGTAGCATAGTCAAGACCGCATTTTACCAGCTTCTTTACAAGAATATCATGGGGCACCTTGTCAAATGCCTTGCTGAAATCAAGGTAGGCTACATCCACTGCGTTCCCTTCATCTACCAGGCTTGTAATTCTTTCAAAAAACGAGATCAGGTTAGTCTGACATGACTTATTTTTCAGAAATCCATGCTGACTTGGTGATCACAGCATTCCTTTCTAGGTGCTCACAGACTGTTTGCTTAATGATCTGCTCCAGAATCTTCCCTGGTATTGATGTCAGACTGACTGGGCGGTAATTATTTGGGTCCTCTCTTTTCCCCTTTTTGAAAATAGGGACAATTTGCCCTCCTCCAGTCTGCCGGGACTTCGCCTGTTCTCCAGGAATTCTCAAAGATGACTGCCAGTAGTTCTGAGATCACATCTGCCAGTTCTTTTAATACTCTTGGATGCAGTTCATCTGGCCCTGGAGACTTGAATACATCTAAACTAGCCAAGTATTCTTGTACTATCTCCTTAGTTATTCTGGGCTGTGTTTCCTTTGCTGAATCATTTGCTTCAAATTCTTCAGGTCGGGCACTGTTTTCTTTATCGGAGAAGACTGAGGCAAAGAAGGCATTGAGGAGTTCAGCCCTTTCTGTGTCCCCTGTTTGCATTTCACCATCTTCTCCTCTGAGTGACCCCACTGTTTCTTTGTTCTTCCATTTGCTACGGACAGACCCATAAAAGCCTTTTTTGTTGCTTTTAACCTCTCTAGCAAGCCTGAGTTCATTCTGTGCTTTAGCTTTTCTGACTTTGTATCTACACGTGCTGGCTATTTGTTTGAATTCCTCTTTGGTGGTTCCCCCCTTTTCCATTTGTACACATCCTTTTTTAATCTTAACTCAGTTAAAAGTTCTTTAGATAGCCACCCTGGCTTCTTTAGGCACCTTCCATGTTTCCGTCTCATTGGTATTGCCTGACGTTGTGCTTTTAGTATCTCCCTCTTAACAAACTCCCAGCCATCATGAACTCCCTTTCCTTTTAGCATTATTGTCCATGGGATCTCACCCAGCACTTCCCTAAGTTTTATGAAGTCAGCTTTCTTAAAGTCAAGAAATTGAGTCCTAGTATGCTTGGCTGCTCCTTTCTGCTGTATAGTAAGCTTCAGAAGAGCATGATCACTCGCGCCTAATGATCCTTCCACTTCTACCCCACTAACCAGGTCATCAACATTGGTTAGGACCAGATCTAAAATGGCTGTTCCTCTTGTTGCTTCTCCCACTTTCTGGACAATGAAGTTGTCTGCAAGGCCAGTGAGGAATCTGTTTGACCTAATGCTCTTGGCTGAGTTTGACATCCAACAAATATCCGGGTAATTGAAGTCCCCCATTACTACTATCTCCCTTCCTTTTGCATGCTTGGCCATCTGTTCCAGGAAGGCATCATCTATGTCCTCCGTTTGGCTTGGGGATCTATAGTAAACTCCCACAATGAGGTCACTGTTATTCTTCTCTCCCTTGATTTTGACCCAAATGCTCTCACTCTGGCTTTGAGGTTCTAAATCTTGGATCTCTTCACAGGTATACACATCCCTGACATATAACGCCACTCCTCCTCCTTTCTTGTCTGGTCTGTTTCTCTGAAATAGATTGTATCCCTCCATTATTACATTCCAATCGTGGGACTTATCCCACCAGGTTTCAGTGATGCCTATTATGTCATATTTAGTTTGCTGTACCAAGAGCTCAAGCTCATCTTGTTTATTTCCCATGCTTTGCGCATTAGTGTACAGACATTGAAGTCCATTAATCATTCCACGTGACTCTTATTTAAGGATTTTTCCCTCCCACCACTAGGTCTGCGTGCTGTTTGCTCCATTTGGTCTATGACATTTCGATGATCATCTTCATCAATTGATAGACTCCTACCTTCAGGAGCACTGTCTCCCTCCCCCCACATTAGTCAGTTTAAAGCCCTCCTGATGAGGTTTCTGAGATTTTGGGCAAAAACATTTCTCCCAGCCGTTGTGAGGTGCAGCCCATCGCTTGCCAGTAGTCCATCTTCAAGAAACTGCAGTCCGTGATCTAAGAATCCAAACCGTTCCTGTTTACACCATTTGCGAAACCAGCTGTTCACTTCCACTATTTTTCCCTCCCTCCCTGGGCCACGTCATTCAACTGGGAGGACAGATGAGATGACAATTTGTGGACTTCCGGGGTGGCGCCATCGGTAATGGCGGATTCCCTCTGATTCGGAGGGGGCCGGCTCTGCGGGAATCGGGTCTGCACCACTACGGCGAGCGGGACCCTTCAAAAATCACAGGCGGGTGAAGCCTGTGACCATGGGACTCGGCGGGCACCTTTTGCGCCCCCCCAACTTGCAAAGGAGCCCGACTACGGGCTCCGGAGTGAAGCGGGGAAGCGGCGCGGTGCTGTGAGTCAACTGCTTCTTCCGTGGAGCGAAGCCACACAGCCGTTACCGGAGAGCGCTACCTTTTTCCTGTGACAATTTGGCTACAAAACAACGACCCGTGAGTAGGTTAATTTGGGAAATAAAGGAGAAAAAAAAGAAGTAATTGGATACCGAAGCGGAGAGGCATAAACAGGAAGTCTGCCTTCCGTTCTTTGTAAATAGAGGAAAGCAATCAACTTGTAAGCTAAAACCTTGAAAGACGCTTGAAGAAGACTATAATTCTATCATCTAAAACAAGCGATTTCCCCCCTTGACTGCAGGAGAGGAGGGGGGAAAGGTTTGAACTGTATTTTCCTGTAAAAGAGAGACATGGAAGCTAAGAATCCACCGCTTAAACCTGGGAACGGACTGCCAATGAAAAATAGAATGCCGTACTGTGATATGCGCTGTTGGTGAAAGTACTTTTTGACAGCTAACTCTGCAAGTCTGATACAAGTGAGATACAATATCTCTGGCTGGCTTTCCCTGGTTTCAAAGTAACTGGAAAATAATTGAAATTAAAACTGTCGTCTATTTTGTGAGCTGGGGATTAAAGAAAAAGGATATTTATTTTAAGGTAACAACTGTTGCCTGTTACTGTGTCCCCCTAGAGGAAGTTTGAGATTGTTACAATAACAACTGGGCCAGGGGAATTTTCCACTTCATAACAAACTCTGATCGTGGGACTGACCTTGAGTATTATCTAGACTGTTATGGCAAATGGAAAAGAGAAAATAGATTTGCTTCAGGAAAAAGCAACGAGGTCTGGTAGAGTGTTTCGCACAGACGCTGGGCTGCAGCGAAGAGCATCAACATCTGGCCCTCCAACAGGAGCTGCATTAGTACAATCTAAACCCAAAGGAATGGCATCCGAAGAGTGTTTTGGCTCAGGCACTAGGCAAAATTAATGAATCTTTGGAAAAATTAAGTAAACAGGTAGCTGAAGCATCAAATAAAATTGATCAAAATACCACAGGCATTAACAATTTGGGACAGAAGGTAAATACTAACACAGAAACTATTGAGAAATTGCTACAGGAATCTACTTCGACCCGAAAGACAGCTGAAGAAGCAAAGGAAATAGCAGTTGCTGTAGAAGAGAAGTTGCCACCGATACACAAGCCACTTGAAGACCATAGGTCAATACTGTCTATGATTGAATTGAAGGAGAAGCAAACGAATTTAAGGATCAGGGCCTGCTCCGACCATAATGCTGTTAAGATGGAAATGAAACTAACACCAACCGGTTCCTTCAGATGGAGGATGAATGACACCTTATTTAGAGATGAAGAAGTGACTAAGAAGGCCCAAAAAACCTTGAGAGACTATTTTGAGATAAATATGAACACCAATGTTGAAAAAAGAGTAATCTGGGACGCAAGTAAAGCTGTTATGAGAGGGTTCTTGATACAACAGAATGCGTTAAAGAAGAGAATCCAAAATGAAAAGAAGGATAAAATATTGGAGAAAATAAAGGAAAGTGAAAAGAAATTGAGAGCAAAACCAAAGTTGCAAGAGATATTGAGAGAAATAAAGTTATATCAAAGTACAATATATGAAAATGATGAATCAGGAGATAGAATGGAAAATTAAACAAATGAGACAAAAGACATTTGAGTCGGCTAATAAATGTGGGAAATTATTGGCTTGGCAAATGAAAAAAGACAAAAAT